AGACTTGTGGACTTCAACTCCCAGAATTCTCCAGCCAGCTCTGCAGAGCTGGCTGGAGAATTCTGGGAGTTGAAGTCCACAAGTCTTAAAGTTGCTAACTTTGGGCACCACTGCCCTAAAGCATCCGGGACAAACAGCTGCACAGTTTCTTCTTCGAATTCCCCAGTGACGAGCAGCCACAACCTCTGGAGAGAAAAACAGGATGGATTGTTCTCACTCTTAGGAAATTTCCCCCTTTCTCAAATTCCACATGGGGAAAAATTTGTCCTGCTGGCTTCAATCCCACGTCCCACGGATTCGCCCTGGCTGTTTCCTCAACCTCGTCGGGTCCTGCAGTCCTCGACTTACGACAATTCATTTAGCGACCGTTTAAAGTTACAAGAGCGAATTAGGAATTATTTCACACGAGCGAATTTCATACTTAACGACCCTTGCCGCATCCCCAAGGTCACACGATCTAAATCCAGACGCTTGGCCACTGACTCATACCTATGACGCCTGCAGCGCCCCGGGGTCACGTGATGCCCTTACGTGGACCTCCTGACAATGGGGATTCGCTTAACGACCGTGTGACTAACTTAAGAACCGCAGTGATTTACTTAACAACTGTGGCCAGAAAATGAGCCAAAATTGATTGAGTCTCACTGAGCAACAGAGATTTGGGGCTCCATGGTGGTTATAAGACGAGGACAACCGGTATTTGCTGGTCTTCTTCTCCAGTAAATCAACACACACACACGCACACCCTTTCTTCCTCGCTTAGTGCCAGTTTCAGGGGTTCCTTCCACTCCTGCCTGCCCACCTCGCTGTGGCTGGCGCATTGTGCCCCCTGCCCTTCCTTGCCTAGGCCTGTTGTGTGTTGGTGCACAGAAGTGTGGCTCTGTGTGTGTGTGTGTGTGAGAGACAGAGACGTGCGAGGGAGAAGGAGCGAGAGACGGGGAAAAAAAAGCAGTGTGATAAGGAGAAAAATAATTACAGCCTGCCGTTAAAACTCCAGGATGCTTTTGAAGCGAAATTACTCAGGAGTCTCCATTCTCCAATCCTGCTTGAAAGGGTCTCGTTCAACCGAGAAGGGAAGAGAAGAAAGGAAAAGAAAAGGGGGGAGGGAAGAAGGAAAGGAAAAATAGAAAAGAAAAGAAAAGGAGAAGAGAAGGAAGATAAAAAGGGAAAGGAGAGAAGGAAAGGGAAGGAGGAACGATGGGATGGGATGATATGGGATGGGAAGGGAAGGANCAGCTGAAGTGGCCTGCAGTACTGCACTCTAACCACTGCGCCACCTCGGCTCTATTACAAAACCAACCTCCCCAACCTACAGCTATCATTCCTGCTTCAGTCATTCCCATTTGTTACTTATCAGCCATAAAAGTCATTGTTGTTGTTGTTGTTATTATTATCCCCATTTATGTATTTATTTAAATTTATTAACTGCCTAATTCTGATGGATTCTGCTCAGTCCATTTGCAGGCTGTTAAACTTAAGCAATCGGGATTCTTTGGTTCATTTCATATTCATTATTAGCAGAATTCTGTCTAACAAGTTATACCATCTACCTAAGTTATGCATTAGTTTTACTGACCTATCCATTTTTATTCTCAAATATGCTTGGGCGTCTGCTTTTTTAAGGGGAAAAAAAATCCAATTTCATCTGCCTTAAAATTGGATTGACTTTTATTTTCCTGAGGCCTCTGGAGCACAAGCAGTTAAATGAAGAAAAACTAAAAAGAAAGCAAGTTAATAATGTAGTTGATTTCACACCCTGACACTTATTTCTACTTCCCATGACCTTAGGACATTTCTAGACAGCGCTATACTTTCATCATGCAGAGTGGATGCAATGCTCATTCATCATCACTAGGGGATGAGCCAAAAGGGCAAGCAATTTGACTGGGCATCCTCTATCAACAGGTCAAGCATGGCACCTTCATAATGACTGATAGGCCACGATTATTTGGGCAGTAGCATCTGCTCCGTGGAGCATACTGGAATATACAGCAGAACTCAACAGCTGGAGCAATGGAGCTTATAGTGAGAAGAATTGCTCCCAGCCCATTTGTAAAATATTGAATGACCCCAAAGGGAACAGCAGGGACCAACGTAATGAACTATTTTGCTTGAGAGAAATATCGGATCGTATCAAGGTTGGGTGACAATATAATTCATTTAAAGGATGAATTAATTGCCAAGCAAACTTCCTGAGCTCATTCTCTCAGGGTTGGGAATGACTTTTAGACCTGTTTAAAGTTTTAAGGCATGCACAGGCATTTTTATTAGTGATTGGCTAGTTGAACCCAGTTTTTTTTAATCCCTCCAGTCACCTGTTTCTCAGAGAAGTAAATAAATGGAAAGGATTTACCTATTGTTCTAGAACTTATAGACGTATTTGAGAAGGTATTTGGCCCTATTGTTTGCTATTTTTGCTCTTCTCTCAGCTCAGTTTCCTGTTGCTAAAAGTTGGGGACCTAATTCTCATATCCTTTCTTGCTGTCTACAATAATCATTCAAGATTGGGAAGTCAGTATTATTTTTAATTATTTTCTTATTGACTTTATGCGGAGTATAAACTTATTACGAGCACAGCAGGAGCATTGCAAAAGGCCATCAATTGTTTTTATGAGACCCCTAGCATTTTCCAATCTCAGATCCAGTGACTGATCATTTGGAAAACAGAGACAGAGGCCTTGAGGAGATTTATTAATGCATCACCCTCCTTCTGTATCTTCTGCAGCTTGTAATTACCCCGAGGCAGTGAAGAAGCATTGCAGGAAGAGAGGGATGGGCTGACTTGTAAAGAGGGGGAGGGGGAGGGACATTGAGGATTACTTTTATTTTGCAGAATGAGTATTCTCAGATTTCATTGAAATATGTGGGTATGTCAAAAGAGTCTTAGATAAGATGACCTGATGTGTGGGAATATCCAGAAGAGCTATTGCTCTTAATAACACAAATTGTTGGCATCCGCTATGTAACACCAGAACTATTTAGTATGGTAAAATAAATAGGATTTGGATTTGTCTGGATAGATAAAACTTCCACTTGAATGAATAATTACAGCTGCACAATGTAGGGGGAAACCTATTAACTCCTATTGTATGAAATAATTGAAATATTAGTTAATAAGTCTACTACATCTTCCCTTGGCTGCAGCAAATAAATGATTTTTCACAGAGATTTAAGGTCCCCTCCCCCTCTCCATTCCAAGTTAACAAGGATATTATAAGCATAAACTCTATTCTCTGAACTGTGGGCCCTTACAGCAGTGGTTCCCAAACTTGGCAACTTTAAGACTTGTGGACTTCAACTCCCAGAATTCTCCAGCCAGCTCTGCAGAGCTGGCTGGAGAATTCTGGGAGTTGAAGTCCGCAAGTCTTAAAGTTGCCAAGTTTGGGAACCACTGCCTTACAACATTCTAAGGGTCAACTCTGAACTGTGGGCCCTCTGAACCTGAGCACNCTGTGAATGGGGCTTTGCTTGTTTACATGGCCCAGTTTCTGACATGCTGAGGGCTGGTGCCAGTCCACAGACTTTTGGAAGATTGCTGTTCTCCTACTTGGAAATGTTTATACAGAAAGATGAATCTTCTCCTGTCCAAAGGACCTGAAACTTTTAAAACTACCTATTGACTCCTTGCTACATATGAAATAGACAGTTCTACATATTATGTGTACTTTGGCTATTCATGTGGTTTGGTACGAATGTAAAGTGATGTAAAAAGCCAGATACCCCACAAAAGGTGTTCAGCAATAAATTCAGGTCAAGGATTGACAATGGGGAGAAAAACCTTTATGCCATGATATAGTTTTTATTCCCAGGTGGACATCAGTTTAACTCAGAGATGACCAGAAAGCTCATGTTATTCCATTTATAGGGTAAAAGGAATACAATGTAAAGATGAGAAATAGATAGCGTAGTGTCCCTTATGCCTATGGAACCGAGATCTATATGCCAGCACTGAACAAGTGGACTTTGAAGAGCCAAATCAGGATTTTGTGTTTTACAAAACAGTTTGCAAGTAACTTTGTCACGTGTCGTTTCAGCCTTTGCCAGCTGGCAGTATAATAGCTGATACAACAGACTCTTATTTAAAGGTGAAAAGGAAGTATTGATTGGGGTCAGAAAAGGACTTAGCCACTGGGCACTTCAATGTTCACAGCGTTCTATTGTTGCTTTCAAAAATAAATGGCAGAAGGGCTAATTTTGCAGTCTAGGCAATATAGTTTTTCTTGCTCTTAATAATGATGAAATCATGATAAATACATATTATAAGACCTGAAGTTCCACAAAATTGATGTTTCCTATGATTTCCCACACAGAACAGTTTTTTTTCTTTCTTCTACTTGCAGTTTGCATGCTTCTAAACACATGTAGAACATCTGCTGTAGAAGAAACATGTTTGGCCCATGTGTTATGTGCTCTGAGTGGGGAGATTTGGATATCACCACAATCAGGAAGGCCTAGTTAAACCAGATGTTTGAAGCTGTTCACAGAATAAACCCAAAATTTGTTCATTCTCACTTGCCCGTGGACCTTACTGTTACCCAAAGTTTCCAGATTCTATTGTGTATTTCGCCTATACCCATTGAAATTCACATCAAGAGATGAGGGAGAAGAGCAAAATCATTCTGGATGATCCTTTAGCTAAGAAGCATTGCCTTTCCCGAATTTTCATACAAAAACATAACCTACCTTAAAACCTTGACTATTCAGCTGCTCTGCTTCATAAAGAAATTTTGGACGGAAGGAATGCTGAAAGAAAAACAAGAATCAGCTAAGCAGAACGTTTTTGTTCCACAATGTTTGCGGTGAGGATCATTCACAATATACAGGAAATCTCTGCTTTTACCACAGTGGGTGCACAGTGTTAGTCTTTGACATCTGCCTTTTCTTAAAAGTCAATGTCACAGAAAGACATACAATACATGAGCTTTATTGTAGTGGCAAGTTATTTTAGATTAATAAGGTACAAAAGTACTGTCTGCAATTGAAGTCCATTTCTCACCACAATATGCTGCTTCCCCCAGAGTCTTAATATAATACTATGCCTTTCAGAGCCTTATAACTAGGGAGTCTGGGTTACTAGACAACAGAACATTTCTTGGTCACTTTTTTCAGGAAAGTTCATAATTCTTTATCTGGTCCAGCACCCATTGACCCCTGGAACTTGAGGAAAAGAAGAAGAGGCGAGAAAAACCAGGCAGAAGGGAAAGAACGGAGACTACATCATGTGAAAGCTCAAATTTAATTTTAAATATTTAGTAGAAACTGACAAAAGCATAGGTCTCTCTCCTTTATAGCAACATCTAGAACTTTTTAAACGTTAGAGCCTAAAGTGGCTAATCTGGAGAGAGGAGTGGTAGAGGGGGAGGGGAAGTAGGGTAGAGGGGGATGATGGAGGGAAGATAGAAAGAGCTCTGCTGGCTGGAGAATTCTGGGAGCTGAAGTCCACAAGTCTTAAAGTTGCCAAGTTTGGGA